CTATATATGTGTTTAATTACGGTGCCATAAAATTTCACATATTTTATTTCCATTTGCGCAATGGTAAGCATATTTCATTTTTTTTAATGTTTGCATTTCATGGGCTTATTTCTTTTGCATGCAAATTGAAACATTTCAAACTGATTTTTTTACATAATAATATTCAAATTAAAATTGAATATTAAAAATAAAACTATTATACAATTTGTATGCGTGTGTTAATCAGTTTAGAAAAATCGCGGATTGCGATCTCTTAGTAACATTTCACTAGTTAAGGTCTTGTTTGGAGCAATAATTAACATCTCTTTTCTTATTGTATGTATCTTGAAATATGTTTATTATCACATGATTAAGAATTTGATGACGTCAAAATTTGCAGTTTTTTATATCGCAATCACATAAAAGGCATTGAACATTCAACAATACGATGCTTTACTTCGACGCAAACCTTGTCGGTTTTTTAATATAGGAAGATATTAGGTTAATATTAAATTTCACACTTTGTTTATATCGCCGGTTTTATTGTGATAATGGTAAAAATAATAATTTAAACGCGCGTATTAGATATTTTAAGGCGACCGTATTTTAGGCTAAAAATATTGTAAGTTAAACTGTTTTTGGTCGAAATTTATAATTTTCTGGCATTATAATTCGTTACTAATTTACTTTCTTTTCCATGATTTCTAGTATTTTTTCATACACCAGCGCATCTACGTCTTTGGCCCACATAAAGTCGGCGTGATTGAATTTGGGAAATGGCACTCTGTAGTCTTCCACTATATTGGTAAGCGAGTCACGAAGCATCTTCAAGTCCTAGAAAAAGTATTCAAAATTTAATTTACATATGACAGTTAATACAAAAGGACATTAAACCAGCATGTGTCGTATATCTCTTCAGTAGTAGAAAAATGCAAATCAACGAAAGATAGAAAGTTATTCAAGAAATTATAATAACTAAGAAAAAGTCAAGTTCAGCAATATATAATGAGCCCTACAAAAGAAAGCAAGAGTGGCGTTTTATTTCAAATTGGTAAATTATTGTCTATGAAAAACTATATTTAGTTATTTATTTTTTACTAGCCCTTAATCCCGACTCATGGGTCGTTTTCGACCCAAGCGAAATTTCAAAGTGCTGTAATTTTTAAAAACGGGTACGGAACGCGCCATATCCCGTACCTAAAAAAAGTTATGCCCCCCGAGGACCCGCCTACGGAATAGCAGCGCGCCAGTCCCCCTCAGGTCGTCACAGCGAGCATAACAATCTCACCGCGGACGCAAACGACCCATGAGTCGGGATTACGTTGCCCAAATCAGCAGGTAAATTTTTTCTACTTTTTGTTTTTATGCGTTCAATATCATCAAAAAATCGTAAAAAAAGGTCTGCATACGCAAAAAAAATTGAAAAAATTTTTTTATGTAGTTTTTTGAAAAAATGGCATCGAGAACGTCAGAAGAAGTTCTGAATATTCTGCGGCCTCGGGAAAATGTCCTGTATTTTGGATCTGACGACTCATATATACGATATATATATACGATATATATATATATATATATATGATATACGCTATTTCATGCTGTATATCTTGTTATCACTAATTAAAC